ACATGCACATACATTCTCTTGTCTATTGATGGGGAGCGCCACCTGCTGGAAACTGGGTCCAGCGTCCCGTGAACATCGTGAATAAGGCATCAACTGGGACCCCACACACACACTCTCTTCGAGTTGTGTATAGCGAACATGACAAAACATACATACAACAGATTCACTACCTTACCCTTCCCGAACCACATAAACAAACGACCTACGGGCTGCGCACCCGTGCCCTCACGGTAAGTCAATGTCTCACCGTACTTTGAAACCTCACCAATAACGCCTCCTTTATCGATCAACCATATACAAACTATGCGCTGCGCACCCGTGCCCTCACGGTAAGTCAATGTTTGAATGCCCTTTGATGAAATTCATCAATGGTGGCCCCCACCCCAAAGGTCACCGTGCATATATGGCCCATCTTGAAAAGAATAGGTGGCCCAGGCTCGAAAAGATTAGCTAGGCCATCTACTAGGGATTCGAACTGCAGTCTGTATTTCAAGAGCTCATTGGTGGAGCAACTATGTCCGTCGGTCAGGTTCCTCATTTCGGCGGGGCACGGGATGCACTTTTTCCCGAGCACATCCACGTGGGACGATTCTATTTGCTATCATGAGTCATGGGGGCGACGGTTCGAGGGGAGCGGAGCGGGAGGCGCAAGGCGTGGGGGAGAAAAACTCCTAAAATCCGTTAAAATTGGAACGATACAGAGAAGATTAGCGCGCAAGGATGACACGCAGAAATCGATAAATGGTCCAATTTTTGAAAATAAAAATAAAAATAAAAATTCGGAACTACTCGCGCGGAGTGTGCGCGGGAGGTGCGCGGGGGGTGGCCGGCGGGTGCGCGGGGTGTGCGCGAGTCACGCTTTCACGCGCGCATATCCGCCGATCGCCACGTACTCCAACCTGTGACGTAGCATCCCGGGCTTCCGACTTCATCGCGCGCGGGTCGGAGATGGGCGGGGATCCGGGAGGTGAGCTGTCTGCACCCGCATCGTCGAATTCCCAAAAGAGGACAACGAAGTCTTTTGACCTGCAACTCAGAGAGGACTTCTTGGACTGAGCTCGGGACGTAATTGCAGTCAGATGCGTCCAGGTCAAGGTGGAAATTCGGTCACATACGTTGAGGAAAGTCGCAGTGTGAATATGCCCTGGGACTACTAATTGTCGTCCGTGTCATCAGTTGCAACTTGGGCAAGACAGAGATAATAAATGTAATTCTTTATTGGCGCGGAGCGACACTAATTGTCGAGAGAGGACAGAGGCCTGTTGAGAGTCGGTGTATATGCACCTTTGTTTATCAAAAAGAAAATGAAGTTGCGTGCCGACGAGAGGGGGAGGCTTGTGCACCGACGCACGAACGCAGAGTCAGAAAGAGAGAGGGGACATGGACAGAGACTAACCGGAAAACACACAGACACACGCCCCCCCCCCCCCCCCCC